GGTGCAGGGTGATATATGAGGATCTAGCTTTAGTTTTCTACAAGTAGTTAACCAATTTTGCCAGCACCATTTACTGAAGAGGCTGTCTTTCTTCCCTTCTTTTTTTAGCTCCCTTATTGAAGATTAGATGGCTATGTGTCTGTAGGTTTATTTCTGGTTTTTCAGTTCTATTCCATTGGTCCTGAGGTCTGTTCTTGTGCCAGTACCAGGCTGTTTTGATTACTATGGCTTTATAGTTGAGTTTGAAATTTGGTATAGATATTCCTCCAGCACTGTTCTTTCTGTTGAGGATCGTTTTTGCTATTCGGAGTCTTTATTGTTCCATATGAATGTTTGGATTGCCTCTTCTATTTCCTTGAAGAATGAGGTTGGAATATTGATAGGTATCCCATTGAATTTGTAGATAGCCTTAGGAAGTATTGCCATTTCACTATGTTGATCCTTCCAATCCAGGAGCATGAGCGGTTTTTCCACTTTCTAAGTTCTGTTTGGATTTCCTTTTTCAGGTTTTTCAAATTTTTCATCATAAAGGTCTTTCACTTCTTTGGTTAAGTTAATTCCTAGGTTTTTTTTATTTTTTGTGTGGCTATTTAACTAATGGAGTTGCTTTCCTGATTTCAGCTATGCTTTTCTCATTATTGGAATACAGTGAAGCTATTGATTTTTTGAGGGCTAATTTTATACTCTTCTACTTTGCCAAAGTTTTGAATCAGCTTGAGTTATTTGGGAGTGGAGTCCAGGGAATTCTTTAAATACAAAATCATGTCATCTGCAAAGAAGGAGAGTTTTACTTCATCTTTCCCTATTTGAATTCCTTTTATGTTTGCATCTTGTCTTATTGATGTATCTAGTCATTCTAACACTAAATTGAAGAGAAGTGGAGAGAATAGACATCCTTATCTCCTATTTGAGCTAAGAGGAAATGGATTTAGTTTTCCACCATTAAGTATAATGCTGGCTGTAGATTTGTCATATACAGACTTTATAGTATTGTGGAGGACTGTTACCAGGATTCCTAATTTTTCCAGAATCTTCATCTTAAAGGGTGTTGGATCTTCTCAAATGCCTTTTCTGCACCTATTGAGATAATGATGTGGTTCTTATCCTAGTTCTTGTTGATGTGATGAATTATATGAACCAGGTTTGTATCCCTGAGTGATTCCTGTTCGATCGTGGTGTATAATTTTTGGATGAATTGTTCAAGGAGATTGAGATGTCTTATTAAATTGTCAGTTTATGATCTCTCCAATTTGTCGATGTAGGAACTCAGAGCTATCAACTTGCTTTTGAGAATCGCCTTTGTTGTGTCCCAGAGGAGCTGGTAATTTGTGTATTCATTTTGTTGAATATCATGAACATATTAATTTACTTTCTAATCACTTCCATAACCCACTCGTGATTCAATGGTGTTTTGTTCAGCTTCCATGTGTTACAGGGCTTTCTTTAGTGGCTTTTGCTGTTTAGTTCTTATTTTATTCCCTTGTGTTCTGAGATAATGCAAGTTATAACTGCAATGTTTCTGAATTTGGACAAATTTGCTTTGTGACCTAAAATATGGTCTATTTTGAAAAATGTTCTGTGTGCTGCTGAGAAAAATATGTATTCTGATGCTGCTGGGTGAAATATTCGGTAGATGTCTGTTAAATCTAGTTGATCTAGGTAGGTGTTTAGATCTGTGGTTTCTCTGTTGAATTTTTTGCAAGATTTATCTTTATAGTGGCGATAGTGGTATGTTAAAATCCCCAACAATTAAGTTTCTGGATCTATATGATATTTGAGGGAAAGTAGTGTTTCTTGGATAAATTTGGGTGCTCTCTTTAGTTTGGTGAATAGATATTTAGAATTGTAATATCCTCCTGAAGGAGAAATCCCTTTATCTTTATTTCTTCTCACTAATTTTAACTTGAAGTCTGTTTTATCTTATATTAGGATTGCAACTCCTGCCTGTTTATGGGGGCCATTTGCTTGGTAGATTTTGTTCTAGCCTTTTACCTTTAAAATGTGTCTGTTTTTTATGGACAAGGTGTGACTCCTGAAGGCAGCAGATAGAAGGATCTTGCTTTTTAATCCAGCTAGACAGTCTATGCTGCTTAATTGAAGAGTTAAGTCTGTTAATGTTGAAGGATAAAATTGAGTGGTGTTTGGGAGTTCCTGCCATGTTATCCATCTTCTTGGGTGCTGTGGCAACTGGGTTCTTCCTATCGTTCTTGGATACTCCATTTGGGTGCAGTTTCTTGGTCTATAATGTGGTCTTGTTGGTTTTCTATGTGTAGGACATCTTTAAGTATCTTTTGTAGAGCTGGTTTGGTGGAGATATATTGTTTCAGTTTTTCTTTGCTATGGAAGGTTTTTATTTGATCTT